GTCCTCCACTCGTTACCTGTATTAATGGCACCTGTTTGAACTTGTTATCAGTATAAAAGACACCTGTCCACAACCTCAAACAGTCACACTCCAAACTCCACTATGGCCAAGACCAAAGAGCTGTCAAAGGACACCAGAAACAAAATTGCAGACCTGCACCAGGCTGGGAAGACTGAATCTGCAATAGGTAAGCAGCTTGGTTTGAAGAAATCAACTGTGGGAGCAATTATTAGGAAATGGAAGACATACAAGACCACTGATAATCTCCCTCGATCTGGGGCTCCACGCAAGATCTCACCCCGTGGGGTCAAAATGATCACAAGAACGGTGAGCAAAAATCCCAGAACCACACGGGGGGACCTAGTGAATGACCTGCAGAGAGCTGGGACCAAAGTAACAAAGCCTACCATCAGTAACACACTACGCCGCCAGGGAGTCAAATCCTGCAGTGCCAGATGTGTCCCCCTGCTTAAGCCAGTACATGTCCAGGCCCGTCTGAAGTTTGCTAGAGTGCATTTGGATGATCCAGAAGAGGATTGGGAGAATGTCAGATGAAACCAAAATATAACTTTTTGGTAAAAACTCAACTCGTCGTGTTTGGAGGACAAAGAATGCTGAGTTGCATCCAAAGAACACCATACCTACTGTGAAGCATGGGGGTGGAAACATCATGCTTTGGGGCTGTTTTTCTGCAAAGGGACCAGGACGACTGATCCGTGTAAATGAAAGAATGAATGGGGCCATGTATCGTGAGATTTTGAGTGAAAACCTCCTTCCATCAGCAAGGGCATTGAAGATGAAACGTGGTTGGGTCTTTCAGCATGACAATGATCCCAAACACACCGCCCGGGCAACGAAGGAGTGGCTTCGTAAGAAGCATTTCAAGGTCCTGGAGTGGCCTAGCCAGTCTCCAGATCTCAACCCCATAGAAAATCTTTGGAGGGAGTTGAAAGTCTGTGTTGCCCAGCGACAGCCCCAAAACATCACTGCTCTAGAGGAGATCTGCATGAAGGAATGGGCCAAAATACCAGCAACAGTGTATGAAAACCTTGTGAAGACTTAGAGAAAACGTTTGACCTGTGTCATTGCCAACAAAGGGTATATAACAAAGTATTGAGAAACTTTTTGTTATTGACCAAATACTTATTTTCCACCATAATTTGCTAATAAATTCATTAAAAATCCTACAATGTGATTTTCTGGATTTCTTTTTCTCATTTTGTCTGTCATAGATGACGTGTACCTATGATGAAAATTACAGGCCTCTCTCATCTTTTTAAGTGGGAGAACTTGCACAATTGGTGGCTGACTAAATACTTTTTTTCCCCACTGTATATGAGGTTGAGGTGTCAGTTCTCAAGAAAGCATGAAGAAGAGAGACACCTGAGAGGTAGCTATTGACATATTGCAAAATATCAACTTCAACAGTGCTTTTGCTGCATACCAGTAAAGACATGAATGAATGCCAAACCTTATCATGTTTCTCATCTATGAAAGAGCCTCGGTGTAATCACTTAAAACACGCCAGAGAGACAACACGAGCAAACACACTCTCTGCCACTATCGGCCACAGACTCTGTGTGTGTATGCGTGCGTGTGTGTGTGTGACATGCCTGTACGTGCAATGCTCACCCCTGTGTGTTAGGCTCAGATATGGCTGAGAGTGAATGGGAGCTGACAGTGGTGCAGTCAGAGGTGGATAGTTCCCCTAGCTAGTGCCTATTGCATAGTGGCTGAGACACAGCACTGTACTCTTCTCTCTACTCTAGGCTTCAGGTCATCTCATGTAATGAGGTCATGTAGATAATTCCTCACTCTCTCTCTCTCACCCTAAATGGCTTCTCTCATAATACTGTAAGTGCTAACTGTAATGCTTTGTAAGTTATTTTTGTGTACCTTCTTAGTTTTTCGTTTTTCTTGTTGAGGGTCATGTAGGAAACTGTAAGATTAAAAAAGAGCTGGAGCAGTTTTGCCTTGAAGAATGGCCAAAAATCCCAGTGGCTAGATGTGCCAAGCTTATAGAGACATACCCCAAGAGACTTGCAGCTGTAATTGCTGCAAAAGGTGGCTCTACAAAGTATTGACTTTGGAGGGGGTGAATAGTTATGCACGCTCAAGTTTTCAGTTTTTTTGTCTTATTTCTTGTTTGTTTCACAATAAAAAATATGTTGCATCTTCAAAGTGGTAGGCATGTTGTGTTAATCAAATGATACAAACCCCCACAAAATCCAATGGGTCAGCTCATGTGTATATTTTTTAATGTTATTCTTGTTATAAAAATAAAACACCTGGCGTGATGGAAAAAAAATATATATGATACAGCACATTCATCTTAGAACACTGTTGGGTTTTAGGGAACATTTCTGATTTGATTAAAAAATGAAGTGCATTGCTACTCTAGACAATTGTCACCTATGAGTATAATATTCCATTCTATTCTATTCCAACAGCATTGTTCATACTTAACTTCCACACTAGAGAGCTTGGGCTCTTCCTCCAACAAGATCTCACGGTGTGAAACTGTTTGACTTCAGTATTCAAAAACAATTTGGGGGGGTAAACTTCAAATGTTGACAGTTAAGTTTAGGCATTAATTCAGAATGGTTAAGGTAATGGTTAAGGTTTGGGATAGTGTTAAAAATATGAATAAATAAAAACGAGTGCCTAGCACTGGGATTGAACATGCAGCCCTTGGAGCTGGCGCTCGCGGGGTTAAGCCCATCCACCATCTCCATCCACAACACCCTAGAAAGCCGCAAGCCTACTTGATGGTAATAGTGCTCACTGTTGGTCCTAGTGGATCATTTTGAAGGCATCTCCCGAAGTTCTGTGAAACTGGGTGAACATCAAATATCGCCTTGGATCTGGAGTGACCTGGCTGCTCCCTCCCCTCCCCCTAGCTGTGCATGCCCACTATAGCAGCAGGAACAGTGGTACTATTGAGTGAGGGCTGTGCTGTGGGCTGTGTCCCAAATGGCAAACTATTCCACATAGGGCTCTGGTTAAAAGTAGTGCCCTATAAAGGAAATAGGGTGCCATTTGGGACACAGCCCTGTGCTGTGCTGCCTAGGCCTGAAGGGCACTTTTCAGCCTGGCCAGACACACATGGGCCTTACTGCTTGGCTGCGCACCATGGGTCACCGGCTTACATTAGGAGCGCCTAGCCAAACCCAGCCATGCGCAGCCCTCCAACATACAAACAGTACTGTAGGCCTACCTACCTGAAATAACATAAACAATGTGAGGGCAGTGTGCATTCTCAGTGCACCACAATTCAAGTGTAAATATGCACTGAAATAAGCATGGTTATAGGCTATTCTAAATAACATTTTACATTGTATCGAACTAAATATGAATAGCCTATTATTGTAATAATGTTGTTATACAATTTTTGCCTCCAATGTATTTCAGTGTGATCATTCTACTTAGTAAGTGGATTCTTCTTCTCTGGCATTAATTTTTAAATAAGTACCTTATCTATCTACATTGAACAAAAATATAAACACAACATGTAAAGTGTTGTTCCCATGTTTCATGAGCTGGAATAAAAGATCCCAGAAATGTTCCATATGTACACAAAGCTTATTTCTCTACGGACAATGAACACAATTGCATTTTACCAATTTGAATTTGAATGCACAGAGATACTGTGAAGAGATCCTGAGGCCCATTGTCGTGCAATTCATCTGCCGCCATCACCTCATGTTTCAGCATGATAATGCAAGGCCCCATGTCTCAAGGATCTGTACACAATTCCTGGAAGGTGAAAATGTCCCAGTTCTTAAATGGCCTGCATACTCAACAGACACTCTGGATCGACTTGTATGACAGCGTGTTCCAGTTCCCGCCAATATCCAGCATCTTCGCACAGCCATTGAAGAGGAGTGGGGAAACATTCCACAGGCCACAATCAGCAGCTTGATCAACTCTATGCGAAGGAGATGTGTCGCGCTGCATGAGGCAAATGGTGGTCACACCAGATACTGACTGGTTTTCTGATCCACACCCCTAATTTTCTTTTAAAGGTATCTGTGACCAACAGATGCAAATTCCCAGTCATGTGAAATCCATAGATTAGGGCCTAATGAATTTATTTCAATCGACTGATTTCCTTATATGAGCTCTAACTCAGTATAATCTTTGAAATTGTTGCATGTTGCATTTATATTTTTGTTCAGTATAATAATTTTCCTTAAATGAAGGAGATGGTCGATTGTTTTGATTAGTGTGGGCTACTGCACTGGGATAAATCTGCTTATTGGCAACAGGCAGAGGATTAAATGAACTGGTGTGGAGAGAAAATGTTGATGCTTGTGTGGTCAGAGGGGAAAACTACCGCAGACCTGTTGTGTCAACCCACTATTATTTATTTGTAGTTCAGGTTCTATCCATCACAGGGTTGCCACTCCGAACTGTCCCAGTGCTTACAGCTGGCCAGTGGCCACATCTCCCAGCTCTGCTCCTTTATCCCCCCTTCACACAGCGCTATGATTGACGTTTCACGAGAGGCACCTCAAGGTGGGGCTAAATGGTCTCTATTCCCAATCATGACGCGTAGGCGGAGTCTCACTTTTATACTCTCGCTATGTGCTGCCTTCCAGTGACTGCGGTTCCGTACTGTATGCAACAAAAGCAAGCGGATGGAATAAATCGAAATAGCCTGCACTTCAGGTTTCCATAACCCACCTTCGATACGGCGTAGTCTCTCGGAGAAAACGGGATTGTGTTTCGGGAAGACACAGGCTCTGACACATGAAAGGAAGCGTCCAGATTCATATTTGTAGTTGAAGTCTGCTTATCATTTCAGATCAGATTTCAGATTCACTTCAGACCAGCTGGAAGAGCAGAGAGAGCGAGAAAGAGCGCTTGTTTCTCTTCGCCTCCGACTTGGAGAACTCGGGAGCGCGAGCAAGAACCCGGGTGGGTCAGTCGGAATTTGTCAAGGATTCTCTTTTGTGAGATTGACGCGGAGGTGAGAGTTTATAAATAGATCGGAAGAGATGGACCAGCAGCCGCGGTTGATGCACTCTCATGCGGGAGTAGGGATGGCATCGCACCCCGGCCTGTCGCAACACATGGAAGGCACCGGAGGAACGGAAGGCGATGGGAGAAAACAGGACATTGGAGACATTTTACAGCAAATAATGACCATCACAGATCAGAGTCTGGATGAAGCTCAAGCCAGGTAAGGTGCCAGATGTGCGCAGTAGCCTACCTTGTCAACATGGACAACGAATGTGTGGCAAACTACTGTATTCATTAAATTAAGGTGGATAAGAAGACATTTCAAGTCAGTCAGATTTCTAGTGAAAAATATTATATTGATGGAATGGAGAAGAATTACGCATTCGAGCCCAACAGCCAATAACGATAAGCGGGCGAGCGCGCATTTGGAAAAATTATAACATCCACAGTGCAGCAGACTCAATTTCAACTTTGAAGTTCTCTTATTATAAGTATTTAGTAGACATATACTTTTTTCCTGAATTTCCAGAAATGATATAATATTGCAGCAGTATAACGTACAGACAAGACAGTAGGTTAGATTCAAAGTGTTTTCACTATAGATTCAAAGTGTTTTCACACATCTGACAAATCAATAACGACGTGCAAATCTGACATCTCAAGTTTGTGGATGCGATTTGTCATCAAAATAACCAGCATCACATTGATTGACAACATCATCATTTCGATGAACTTTTGTGCAAACACAGCTCTCTCTCTCTGTCACTCCAGTCAAAATATAACAACTGATAAGGCATAGCCTAAATCTAATATAAATCTGGAATATGCTATTATAGGCTATCATTTATTATTTGCATGGGCTATACAATGGGCCATTGATAGTAATTGCAGATAAATAATGTGCATCCAGTTACTAGATATTCAATTGACTCAGAAGCTAAAGCGAAGTGCTCAAACGCGCACTGCGTTTGTAGGCTGTGTTTTGCCTACATCGTGCAGGGCGAGCAGCAGAGAGGAATCTTTCAAAATACTATGAAACTCTTTGGACAACCCTTTTCCACTGTCCTGTGTTGCACTGTGATGAACATGACTGTAATTTATACAAATTCAACAACAAACAATACATGTAATAATTGTTGAAAAAGAAACAAAAATACATCTTCAAAACTGTTGTATAAATTATTGTTTGTATTGTTGCTCAATCAGTCCAGAACATAATAATTTGTTGCATTACATTTTTAGGCAGTAACAAATAGCTATATATTCCAGTTTACTTTCTTTATTTGCTTCCAATAATAATAATAATAATAATAATAATAATAATATAAATATTAACATGTCATTTTTAAATATTACATATGCTATTTTACTTTCGAGATTAAGCATGCATATACAAATACAGCCGGCTTTCAATAAAAGGTTGACGTGATGCGCATCATTTGCTTCACACAATTGCCTGTCTCCATAATTTGCGACATAGGCTATATGCTTCAATAAAACCTTTAGCCTATAACTACGTTATTAGGCTAACGCTTTTAGGATTTATGAGAATTTTTGAACTTTACTTTATTTTGTTTTATAGGAAACACGCCTTGAATTGCCACAGGATGAAGCCTGCTCTCTTCAACGTCTTGTGTGAAATCAAAGAAAAAACAGGTAGGCCCAATGCGTTTTATGAAGTTATCTACTGGGCTACTGAATGCACGTCAAATACAGACCTACACAATTTGAAGGAAAAACTATAGGCTTACTAGCTACCTAGAGAAACGTAAAGTGCGTTCTTCGTCGGCTACAGAAGCCCAAGTAAAGGGGACATTGTATGCGCTCTATATAGGACTCATAAATGTCTTCAGAGAAAGCGCGTTTTAGCCTACAATTCACAGCCATTCGCATAGATGAACTTGTTGCAGCCAGGGCATGCATGCATGTTTTTCAATGTGCTTTGAATTACATTCTTATATGAGAAGAGAAATACAAATGTGGCTATTTTTAAGACCTGTGTTTTTACCATTTGCACATGTTTTTGGAGTGCAATCCATTTTATGCTATTACACATTAGGCAGCCCTACAATCAGTGCTACTTGATTGAAAATATTTTACAATTATAGTGTCAAACATCTGAAGGTTTGATGGCGTTGATGATGGAAAGTGTTGAGAGCTAAATTACCGTCTTCATCATAATGTTTCCCCCTTGTGTGCTAGCTGTCAAATCTCTCTGCTGAGTGTGTCTCATTTAATTCACTTGCGGTCTGTCTCTCCATTTGTCTGTGCTGTTGTGAGAGACCATGTACCCAGAATAATTGCACTAAGAGCAGATGCAGTGACATTAGACTTAGGGAGCAGCATAACAGAAGTCGTCTTTCCAGAATACAAACCCCTTTTCCCCTTGACATTTCTGAAATTGGCACAGATAGAATTCAGAGCTGCTCAGGAGCGATAGTGTGTATATATCTTGTCTATTATTTTCCCGTTCTAAGCTATGGAATGGAATGGGGACTCCTTTAAATTTGTACTTGTGAGATATTGAGATGCTATCGCTGTCTGGGTTTGACGTGGAAGCGGCTCCACTGTGTTTCACAGTCATTAGTGCATGAAATAAAATGGGATAGATAGATAGAGGATAAAAGAGATATCATTTTCATTATCTCTGTGCTCTCACTTGGTCCATACTTCCTGCTTCACTGCTGTGGTGCTGTGTGTGGAGGTGATGGGTTGTGCTGTTTATTTTATTCCCTGTGTGTATGTGATTCTACTTTTCCATGATGTTTTCATTTTCATTGAAGTTCAACCCCCCCCCCCCCCCCCCCACCGCCACCCTCCACCTCCACTCCCCACCGACCCAGTCCTCCTGCCCCATGTAGCGCACCCTCAATTGGGCCAGTTTCTAAGGAGAGCAGGGGGCCTTTTGAGGCCTGCTGGCTCTCTCTCCTTTCTCTGTTGTCTTGTTAGGGTTTTGGAGGGGGAGTGAGTGACACAGTTATGCATAGTGTTTTACTCCCTGCCGTTTTTCTGAGTTCATCCAAAGTTTGTCACCGCATGGAGTACAAAGTCACTTGGATCTGGTCCTGTCTAGGAGTGCTGTGCCTTCTCTCTCAGTCTCTCTCAGCCGGCTACAACCCTACCATCCCAATAGCCCAGGTTTCTGTTTCTCCTGAAGGAGAATGTCTCTGAGTCTGACCATCTCCTCTTCTCAGAGGAGGTTTAGTTACACATACCTACTGTGGTTGGAGGAAATTAAGTTCATTACATCAATTGAATATAGATGTATGATATACTACTGTAAATACAGCACATGGTTCTGAACAACTCTTTCATGTACTGTATGAGACATTGTCTCATCCGCTCTCTAGTGTAGTTGTATAAGGTGTTAGAATTAAGTTCTTAGAGGTAGTTTTGAAAATATTTTTGAAAAGTGTCAGCTGCTGAAGCCTAGAGTACATCTCTGTTAAGTAAACCTCGACTGGGTCCTTTCGGCTAGGTGCCAAAGTATTAAAAACCTTATGATGATTCTCCCAGTAAAAAAAGCATACCTGTTTTTTAAACATTATTATAACTCTGCCTGCCACAGTACAGACTACAGGCTAGCCCCAGTGAAACTGTGTTGAGTTGAGCCGGTCGGCCGGTGAGCACGGTTTCTGTTAGGTCTTAAAGTAAATAAAGTTTAGAGCAGAACTCACTGACTGCACAGACCTCTGCTGCTGCTGCTCTGGAATCTGTCTTGTTTTTAACCATTAAATATGTCTGAATGCACCAGAGACATTAAGGCTATTTCTAGTGTGGTTTTTACACCACATGACATTCACTTAGGATAACTGTGTTGTTAATGGCTTTTTGTAACATATAGTTTTTTTTTCTGATAAGACTATCATTTGCCATTTTTATTTATTTGTAGAATTTTGTCATAGCAACATTTGAGAGCTGTGAATTTATATAATAACTGCATATAGTACATTCAAATATATACACTACCGTTCAAACGTTTGGGGTCACTTAGAAAGTCATTGTTTTCGAAGAAAAGCATTTTTTTGTCCATTAAAATAACATCAAATTTATCAGCAATACAGTGTAGACATTGTTAATGTTGTAAATGGCTATTATAGCTGGAAATAGCTGATTTTAAATGGAATATCTACATAGGCGAACAGAGGCCCATTATCAGCAACCATCAGTCCTGTGTTCCAATGGCACGTTGTGTTTGCTAATCCAAGTTTATCATTTTAAAAGGCTAATTGATCATTAGAAAACCCTTTTGCAATTATGTTAGCACAGCTGAAAACTGTTGTGCTGATTAAAGAAGCAATAAAACTGGCCTTCTTGAGACTAGTTGAGTATCTGGAGCATCAGCAATTGTGGGTTCGATTACAGGATCAAAACGGCCAGAAACAAATAACTTTCTTCTGAAAGTCGTCAGTCTATTCTTGTTCTGAGAAATGAAGGCTATTCCATGCGAGAAATTGCCAAGAAACTGAAGATCTCGTACAACGCTGTGTACTACTCCCTTCACAGAACAGCGCAAACTGTCTCTAACAAGAATAGAAAGAGGAGTGGGAGGCCCCGGTGCACAACTGAGCAAGAGGACAAATACATTAAAGTGTCTAGTTTGAGAAACAGACGCCTCACAGGTCCTCAACTAGCAGCTTCATTAAATAGTACCCGCAAAACACCAGTCTCAACGTCAATAGTGAAGAGGCGACTCCGGGATGCTGACCTAGGCAGAGTTGGATTAGCAAACACAACGTGCCATTGGAACACAGGACTTATGGTTGCTGATAATGGGCCTCTGTTCGCCTATGTAGATATTCCATTAAAAATCAGCCATTTCCAGCTACAATAGCCATTTACAACATTAACAATGTCTACACTGTATTTCTGATCAATTTGATGTTATTTTAATGGACAAAAAAAATGCTTTTCTTTCAAAAACAAGGACATTTATAAGTGACCCCAAACGTTTGAACGGTAGTGTATATATTTTAATGTACTATATGCAGTTATTATATAAATTCACAGCTCTCAAATGTTGCTATGACAAAATTCTACAAATAAATAAAAATGGCAAATGATAGTCTTAGCAGAAAACCCCCCCCCGATATTTTACAATAAGCCATTAACAACACAGTTATCCTAAGTGAATATCATGTGGTGTAAAAACCACACTAGAAATAGCCTTAATGTCTCTGGTGCATTGAGACATATTTCATGGTTAAAAACAAGACAGATTCCAGAGCAGCAGCAGCAGAGGTCTGTGCAGTCAGTGAGTTCTGCTCTGAGCTTCATTTACTTTAAGACCTAACAGAAACCGTGCCCACCGGCCGACCGGCTCAACTCAAACTTTTGACTTATTTGAATTTCATAGTTTTTATTCAAAACCTTAATTCACAGTTTTTTGGTTTTGCAAATATATAAATATTTTTAGAATTTGGTTTTAGTAAATGGGATTGTCTGTCCCCTCCATCTCCACTACGCGCTTTATGTCTCTGACTGTCCCCGGTACCAGAAAACTGACATCACCTGCAGGCGTCAGGAAATAATATAATGCCATGCTCAGGCAAGCAGGACAGGCAGCGTTGAGTAACTCCTGAACTCCTGACCCACTCTGTGTATTTGTACTGGGATACTGTGGTGTGGTGAGCGATCGGTGCCCAGCAGAACGACTACTCACTATAAACAAGCACAGTGCTGTGCACTGCTCACACCCCAGAGGAAAGGAGAAGGAACACTTTATTTCAACCCAGGGTAGGCATCTTTCTTTTTCTTTACTTCTTCATTCAGACACTGGTTTATTTTTTCCGTCCTTGACTGCTTAGTTTCATCCCGATCATATTTTGGTTGTCTTTCTCTACTGAAAGGAATGTTACTTTTCACTCAGAGGTGTGTACAATACTTGATAAAAAGAGATTGACACTTCACCTGTATGGATTATTACATTTAAAAACAGTTTGATTTTGACACACACTCCTAAGGTTACTGTTGGATAGGAGGATTAGTGTTCACTGTGAGAAGAATAAGAAAGAGAAGTTAAACTCAGTGTTAGGGTCTCGTCTGTGACAGGAGGAAGTTGAACTCAGTGTTAGGGTCTTGTCTGTGACAGTAGGAAGTTGAACTCAGTGTTAGGGTCTTGTCTGTGACAGTAGGAAGTTGAACTCAGTGTTAGGGTCTTGTCTGTGACAGTAGGAAGTTGAACTCAGTGTTAGGGTCTTGTCTGCGACAGGAGGAAGTTGAACTCAGTGTTAGGGTCTTGTCTGCGACAGTAGGAAGTTGAACTCAGTGTTAGGGTCTTGTCTGCGACAGTAGGAAGTTGAACTCAGTGTTAGGGTCTTGACTGTGACAGTAGGAAGTTGAACTCAGTGTTAGGGTCTTGTCTGTGACAGTATGAAGTTGAACTCAGTGTTAGGGTCTTGTCTGTGACAGTAGGAAGTTGAACTCAGTGTTAGGGTCTTGTCTGTGACAGTAGGCTGCATGTCCCAAAAGTATCCACCCTGAGCCACGTTATAAGAGGTATTGGCACAGGGTGCTTTCCAAAAATACACCCAAACAATTTGACTCCAATGCTATTGCGCCATGAAACCTTAACCTTCTGCAAACTCAACTCATTATAACATATACAAATGTGACACAACTCAATCTTACATCATGGTTTTGAAAATAAAATAAAATATTTCTAACTTTATTAATCATGAGGTGAATGTGGCAAAATGTAATTAAACCCTAACCCTTTTATTTTCAAAAATTGTATTTCACCTTTATTTAACCAGGTAGGCCAGTTGAGAACAAGTTCTCATTTACAACTGCGACCTGGCCAAGATAAAGCAAAGCAGTGCGATAAAAACAACAACAACACAGAGTTACACATGGGATAAACAAAACATACAGTCAATAACACAATAGAAAATCTATATACAGTGTGTGCAAATGTAGTAAGTTATGGAGGTAAGGCAATAAATAGGCCATACTGCAAAATAATTACAATTTAGTATTAACACTGGAGTGATAGATGTGCAGAAGATGATGTGCAAATAGAGATACTGGAGTGCAAATGAGCAAAATAAATAACAATATGGGGATGAGGTAGTTGGGTGGGCTAATTACAGATGGGCTGTGTACAGGTGCAGTGATCGGTAAGCTGCTCTGACAACTGATGCTTAAAGTTAGTGAGGGAGATAAGAGTGTCCAGCTTCAGATATTTTTGCAGTTCGTTCCAGTCATTAGCAGCAGAGAACTGGAAGGAATGGTGGCCAAAGGAGGTGTTGGCTTTGGGGATGACCAGTGAGATATACCTGCTGGATCGCATACTACGGGTGGGTGTTGCTATGGTGACCAATGAGCTAAGATAAGGCAGGGATTTGCCTAGCAGAGATTTATAGATGACCTGGAGCCAGTGGGTTTGGCGACTAATATGTAGTGAGGGCCAGCCAACGAGAGCGTACAGGTCACAATGGTGGGTAGTAAATGGGGTTTGATTACAAAACGGATGGCACTGTGATAGACTACATCCAATTTGCTGAGTAGAGTGTTGGAGGCTATTTTGTAAATGACATCGCCAAAGTCAAGGATCGGTAGGATAGTCAGTTTTACGAGGGCATGTTTGGCAGCATGAGTGAAGGAGGCTTTGTTGCGAAATAGGAAGCCGATTCTAGATGTAACTTTGGATTGGAGATGCTTAATGTGAGTCTGGAAGGAGAGTTTACGGTCTAACCAGACACCTAGGTATTTGTAGTTGTCCACATATTCTAAGTCAGACCCGCCAAGAGTAGTGATTCTAGTCGGGCGGGCGGGCGGGTGCAAGCAGCGTTCGATTGAAGAGCATGCATTTAGTTTTACTAGCGTTTAAGAGCAATTGGAGGCTACGGAAGGAGTGTTGTATGGCATTGAAGCTCGTTTGGAGGTTTGTTAACACAGTGTCCAATGAAGGACCAGATGTATACAAAATGGTGTCGTCTGCGTAGAGATGGATCTGAGAGTCACCAGCAGCAAGAGCGACATCATTGATATACACAGAGAATAGAGTCGGCCCGAGAATTGAACCCTGTGGCACCCCCATAGAGACTGCCAGAGGTCCAGACAACAGGCCCTCCGATTTGACACATTGAACTCTATCTGAGAAGTAGTTGGTGAACCAGGTGAGGCAGTCATTTGAGAAACCAAGGCTATTTAGTCTGCCAATAAGAATGTGGTGATTGACAGAGTCGAAAGCCTTGGCCAGGTCGATGAAGACGGCTGCACAGTACTGTCTTTTATCGATCGTGGTTATAATATCGTTTAGGACCTTGAGCGTGGCTGAGGTGCACCCATGACCAGCTCGGAAACCAGATTGCATAGCGGAGAAGGTACGGTGGGATTCGAAATGGTCGGTGATCTGTTTGTTAACATTAAACCTATCTTCATCACAAAATTATAAACCTGAATGTAGAGGATTGCAAACTATCTGTTTTAATCATGCTTTTAAAGTTTCCACAGTTTGTTTTTGGAACTGGTCTAAAGGACCTTGCTTCTCCTTTTGATGAGAAAACTGTCGACATCATCCAAAATGGTGCTTAAGAAAATTAGCTAAAATGAATTGACTTCTATAAACACCTCGTCAACGTCATAAATCTCCAACAGTGTCAAACATAACCTCTCTGTGACACTGAGACGCTTGCTCAGTAAATGTAGTCTGTGTCCCAAATGGCACCCTATTCCCTATATAGTGCATTACTTTTGACCAGAGGCCTATGTGCCCCGGTCAAAAGTAGTGCACTATATAGGGAATAGGGTGCCATTTGGGACGCATCCCTACTGCTCTGACTGGCTGTTTAGTTTTTTTCCCGCTCAACCTCAACAAAAGGCCAGTTTTCTGGTGGCCTTGTTTGAATAGTGTAAGGTTTCACGCCGGGGGATGCTCCATTTATAAAAATTACTAGCGGAGTGATGTAATGTTATTTTTTGAATGGTGAAAATGAGGTGTTTTACAGAGGTCAGCGGAGTAATATTTGATGTGAAATTAGCCAGATATCTGATTTACAGAGGATGTGTCTCAAATGCCGACCTATTCCCTATATAGTGCACTACTTTTGACCAGAACCATATGGCCTCTGGTCAAAGGTAGTGCACTACACAGGGAATAGGGTGCCATTTGGGATGCAGACAGAGAGGTGTATTGAGACGCAGACAGAGAGATACAGTACACTACACTACATTGAGTTGTCAGTCCATTCAGATGTCTTGGCATCTGCATGTTTTTACTATAGAAAGTAGACTCCAGCCCCCAGAGTCCAGTCAGAACCCTACAAACCACATCACACCATCGTAATATAAACCATTTATGTTAGCCGTCATTATCCGCAGAAGAAAACCTGTTTTTAGCTTCGAACAACAATGTGGTATAGAAACCCATAGGGATTTCCAGTTTGACTGTATATACAGTATTTTTTGTTGTTGTTGTTAGATTAGCGCAACGGTGTATTTTGAGAGTGCATTGCCAATGCCAAACTACTGGTACTCAAAAGGCAAATGTTGACATACAGTTGAAGTCGGAAGTTTACATACACCTTAGCTAAATACATTTAAACTCAGTTTTTCACAATTCCTTACATTTAATCCTAGTAAAAATTCCCGATCTTAGGTCAGTTAGGATCAGCACTTCATTTTAAGAATGTGAAATGTCAGAATAATAGTAGAGAGAATTATTTATTTCAGCTTTGATTTCTTTCATCACATTCACAGTGGGTCAGAAGTTTACATACACTCAATTAGTATTTGGTAGCATTGCCTTTAAAGTGTTTAACTTGGGTCAAACGTTTCGGGTAGCCTTCCACAAGCTTCCCACAATAAGTTGGGTGAATTTTGGCCGATTCCTCCTGACAGAGCTGATGTAACTGAGTCAGGTTTAGAGGCCTCCTTGCTCGCACACGCTTTTTCAGTTCTGCCCACACATTTTCTATAGGATTGAGGTCAGGGCTTTGTGATGGCCACTCCAATACCTTGACTTTGTTGTCCTTAAGCCATTTTGCCACAACATTGGAAGTATGCTTGGGGTCATTGTCCATTTGGAAGACACATTTGCAACCAAGCTTTAACTTCCTGACTGATGTCTTGAGATGTTGCTTCAATATATCCACATAATTTCCCTTCCTCATGATGCCATCTATTTTGTGAAGTGCACCAGTCCCTCCTGCACCCATGATGCTGCCACCCCTGTGCTTCACGGTTGGGATGGTGTTCTTCGGCTTGCAAGCGACCCCCTTTTTCCTCCAAACATAACAATGGTCATTATGGCCAAACAGTTCTATTTTTGTTTCATCAGACCAGAGGACATTCCTCCAAAAAGTACGATCTTTGCCCCATGTGCAGTTGCAAACCGTTGTCTGGCTTTTATATGGCGGTTTTGGAGCAGTGGCTTCTTCCTTGCTGAGCGGCCTTTCAGGTTATGTCGATATAGGACTCGTTTTACTGTTGATATAGATACTTTTGTACCTGTTTCCTCCAGCATCTTCACAAGGTCCTTTGCTGTTGTTCTGGGATTGATTTGCACTTTTCGCACCAAAGTACGTTCATCTCTAAGAGACAGAACGCGTCTCCTTCCTGAGCGGTATGAAGGCTGTGTGGTCCCATGGTGTTTATACTTGCATACTATTGTTTGTACAGATGAATGTGGTACCTTCAGGCATTTGGAAATTGCTCCCAAGGATGAACCAGACTTGTGGAGGTCCAAAAAATAATAATCTGAGGTCTTGGCTGATTTCTTTAGATTTTCCCATGATGTCAAGCAAAGAGGCACTGAGTTTGAAGGTAGGCCTTGAAATACATCCACAGGTACACCTCCAATTGACTCAAATTATGTCAATTAGCCCATCAGAAGCTCCTAAAGCCATGACATAATTTTCTGGAATTTTCCAAGCTGTTTAAAGTCACAGTCAACTTAGTGTATGTAAACTTCTGACCCACTGGAATTGTGATTCAGTGAATTATAAGTGAAATAATCAGTCTGTAAACAATTGTTGGAAAAACTAATTGTGTCATGCACAAAGTAGATGTCCTAACCGACTTGCCAAAACAATAGTTTGTTAACAAGAAATTTGTGGAGTGGTTGACAAACGAGTTTTAATGACTCCAACCTAAGCGTATGTAAACTTCTGACTTCAACTGTATCAGTTCGCTCTCTATCTAAATCCATCTGGTGTCACTTTGGTAGTATGATTATTGTAAGTAATAGGGAACGTTACTATATAGTGCACTATGGTCCCTATGGGCCCTGGTCAAAATAGTGCACTATAAAGGGAATAGGGTGCCATTTGGGATGTAGACATAGGCTAGGCAGGGGCCTGTTCAGAGCTAATGTAAACTAGCAGCCTGTAACAGTTTATTTCCATCCAATCAATACAGGAGGACGTCTACTCAGATATAGAGCGTCGGTGTCTGTTAGTGGACTGACTGGGAGTGTTGATGCTAATACGTGCAGCAGCTTTTGTCTTTTATCCAGCCTGCTCCTCTATGTTGATGCAGCAGCATTCGGAGAGTGTGTGTGTGTTTGTATGTGTGTGTATGTGTGGGTGTGTGTGTGTGTGTGTGTGTGTGTGTGTGTGTGTGTGTGTGTGTGTGCAGCAGTATTCAGAGGAGAGAGAGAAACACAAAGCAGTGCTCTCCACAGCTGTTTCCCTCCTATCTCTCTGTTTAATCACCCAAATATCTCTCTGTTTAATCATCCCCCCCACTGATGGTGGTGACCGTGAAATTGATCTATCTGTTTCACGTTGAGTAGTTGTTTTTCCCCTCAATGTTTTCCTGTGATGTTATCCCAGTGATGATGACAGGGAGAAAGCATCTCTGTTGTGTGGGAAAGAGAGTAAGACAGAAAGGACTGAGAAATAAGAAACACAAGAGGGAAGACCAATCAAATTCCTCTTTTATAGGCTGGTGAGCTAGCTACTAAAATTACTGTCCTTTTATCCTGTTACGGCATCAGGGCAATGCTAAATGCTATTCATTAAAAATGAATATTATGCGCTTATGGTCTCCAAAATAAAGCATATCCCAGTCATTGTGGTGAATGAAATGTATAAAATGGATAGCTGGTTGGATTTAGCGCTCATGCCTCACCAGACAGAATTAACAGACCACAGCATCCACTGCTTTAAGATGGGGATATGGTGGCTTTAAGATGGGGATATGGTGGCTTTAAGATGGGGATATGGTGGCTTTAAGATGGGGATATGGTGGCTTTAAGATGGGGATATGGTGGCTTTAAGATGGGGATATGGTGGCGTACATCTGACTGTTTCTCTCTGCTTGCTTTTTTGGCTCCTTTTTGCAATAATGATCTCTATAAAGATGGGGTCTGCCTTGGCCCTTTTTTGTGTGCTGCTAGCTTCCTCTAATATTTAATCAAATCCGCAAATTTGTTATGTACATTAAATTGAACATGCTACGGCACTTTCGAATGTGGTTGCCATACCAACCCCCCAGGTATTCATTTTCCTTAATGCAGGGCTTTGAATCTCATTTCCTACACACTCCCCTGCTGCTAAGAGCTGCTCCGAGCAGGCGCTACCTCCAGGCTTCCACTGTACCGCTGACAGAGCACCGCTCCACCGACACAGCCTTCAAACGCTAGAGCTTTTATCGAGAGAGATAGAGAGAGGGAGTGAAAGAGGGAGAGCGGGAGAGAGAGAGGGAGAGAAAGAGAGCAGGGAGAGGGAACGAGACAGCGCAGGAGAGAGGGAAAGAGGGAAAGACAGAGAGCGGGAGAGAGGGAGACAGAGAGGGAGAGGCCTCTCTCCACGTAGTGGAAATGACACAAATTAATATACACTACTTAAACCAGACTAAGATTAATGGTTGCCTTTCGCGGCAGCTTAGTCCCACTGTCAGTTGCCGGGTGCTCGTTGGATAAAATCAACACTAATCAACATTTATTTCCCTTTTGCCCTGGGCCCTTAGGATTCTGGCGGGCGGCAGGACTGTGTTACCCCCCTCCTACTCCCCCTCTCTCCTCCCCTCGCCTCCCCCCGTCTGTCTCGCTTTTCAGCTCCCATCCAGCTCCTCCATACATCACCCTGCTCCCTCCCTCCTCCCTCCCTCCCTGCCACCTTCCGGCCTGGCTCCTCACAGGGGAGATCGCCCCCTCCCATCAGGACACATTACAGTCATGATAGATTTTCTCATTTCATTTGCATCTGATATTTAACACTGTAAAGCAGTTGCTCTGGCACTTTACAGTATGGGAGCTGCGTGTGGTCTGTGAATGGTGTGTACGGTGTGTACATTGTGTGTGTGTGTGTGTGTGTGTTTGTGTTGATCTGAGTATATTTTGTATTCTGAGCAATCTGGCCTCAATCTGCTATTGCATTATCACTAACAAGATATGTGTTGTGTTGTGTGTATGCATTATATGTTTTCCTGAACGCAGCATTATGTCTGTGTATGGCCCCATTACTAGGAAACCGAGCTCCTCTCCCTCTTCCAATAGGCTTGTATTTCCTTCAGGAGGAAAGACAAGGCAATTACCAGTGTATATTTTTGTCCTCATTCCAAAGAAACATAATATATTATACGTTTCTGTGAAGTTGATCAGATTATGCTGCTGCCCTTTATTCTACATTTACATTTTAGTCATTTAGCAGACGCTCTTATCCAGAGCGACTTACAGTTAGTGAGTGCATACATTTTAATACCTGCCCCCTAGTGTTGACAATATTGTGTTGTATTAAATATTGTACATGTATCTAGACCTAGACCAAGGATCTGACCTGAATTATTGTAAGATTATTGATTGTTTTAGCATTCATTAGATTAACCACAAGCAGACTGCCTCTCACATCACTTGTATCATTGATAATTGTACAGATAATATTGTTACTGTTTCATCTGTGTTAATGCGGAGCAAAGATAAAGAGATTCAGCCTAAATATCCTCCTTGCTAGAACCCACCCATCTAACGTTATGCAAATCTCATAATTATACAGTCTAATGTATGGCGGTAATCAGCTTCTGTTGCTCATTATATCTTCCTGGTCTCTCACTGTGTCACTGGGAAGCATTCTCACAAGGAACATTGTATCTCTACATTTCAGTCTCTAAATATGCTGGAGGAACATTTGAGTCTCTAATTATGCTGGAGGAACATTGTAGTCTTTAAATATGCTGGAGGAATTTTTTTGTCTCTAAATATGCTGTATTCACTATAAAACAGAAAGTAATCCAAATCAATTAAGACTGATAGTACACCTGAACAAAAATATAAACGCACTGAGTTACAGTTCATAAAAGGAAATCAGTCAATTGAAATAAATTCATTAGGCCCTAATCTAGGGATTTCACATGACTGGGAATACAGATATGTGTCACGGTTTCGGCCGAGGCTGCCTCTCTCCCTTGTTCGGGCAGGCTTCGGCGTTCGTCGTCTCCGGAATTCTAGCTGCCACCGCTATATGTTTCATGTTCGTTTGCTTTTGTCTGTTTGTTTCCACACCTGTTTCTGTTTTGACGTAATTAGTGTCCTATAAGTTTCTCGTTGTGTTTGTCTAGTGTTGTGTGTGATTGTTCCCGTCAGTGTTGTGTTTTGCTCGGTTGAGCTTATTTCTCCACTGTGCTGGAGCTTATTTGCACCTGTGTGTGCACCGTTCCATTTTGTCGCACCTGTTAGTGCGCATTTACCTTTCGCCTTCGTGCGTGTTTTTGCTGTCGGGCTTAGTTGTCCTGTTGCCTGTGTTTGGGCCAGTAATACAGCCTTTGGAACATTCAGTCTGCGTCCTGCGTTTGATTCCTACACTACACCTACAACACGCCCTGACAGAATCACACACCACCAATGGAATCAGCAGGAGCCGAAGCAGCCCAGACGAGACTGGAAGCCCAGGTTCGGGACCAGCAAGAGCAGCTCCTGCAGATGGGGACCGCCCTGCAGGAGGTGATTACCACACTCCGAGGCTGGGGTTCGCCTCCACCGCCGCCCGCCCTGCCAGCACCATCGGCCAGCCCGCCCATTCCAGCGCCGGAACCTCAAGGAGTCCGACTATCTCTCCCGAGGGCCTACGACGGGACCGCGGCTGGGTGTCAGGGATTCCTGCTCCAGGTAGAGCTATACCTGGCCACAGTGCACCCGGCACCTTCAGGGCATGAGTGCGTGTCCGCCCTGATCTCCTGCCTGGCCGGAAAAGCGTTGGAGTGGGCCAACGCGGAGTGGAGGAGGATCGACGCCACGACGATTACGTACACCGAGTTCTCCCGCCGCTTCAGGGCGGTGTTTGACCATCCCCCGGAGGGGAGAGCGGCGGGGGAGCGTCTGGTCTTCCTCCGGCAGGGGAGGAGAAGTGCCCAGGAATTTGCGCTCGAATTCCGTACTCTAGCGGCAGATGCAGGGTGGAATGATCGGGCCCTCATCGATCTATACCGATGTAGCCTACGAGAGGACGTCCGTCGGGAGCTGGCTTGTAGGGACACCAGCCTCACTTTCGACCAGCTGGTTGATATGTCCATCAGGCTGGATACCCTGCTGGCTACCCGCGGACGTCCTGCGGAGGGTCCGTCCATTCCACCCTCCAGCGCCTCCGAGCCGTGTCCTATGGAGCTCGGGGGCGCTGGCGCTAGAGAGAGGAGGAGTCGGCAGGCTAGGGGGTCCATCCACTGCACCAACTGTGGTCGGGGAGGACACACCGCGGCTAGGTGCTGGGGATGGCCTCCTAGGGGAGATGACGACAGGTCCCGCACTGGGGATTCCCTCCAGGTGAGTAGGCGCCCCACTCACCCAGAGCTCACTGTTGCCCATTTTTGTATGCCTGTACGTTTTCCACAGGTAGCACCTCATTCCCAGCATAAGGCGCTGGTAGATTCAGGCGCGGCTGGGAATTTTATTGATAAAAAGTTTTGTTTAGCGTTAGGGATTCCCCTCATTCCTGTTGATGTTCCTTTTCCCGTTCACGCCCTAGATAGTCGTCCGTTGGGTACGGGCTTAATCAGGGAGGTCACGGCGCCACTTAGGATGTGTGCGCAGGGGGATCATCAGGAGATGATTCAGCTGTTCCTGATTGACTCTCCTGCGTATCCGGTGGTGCTGGGCATGCCCTGGTTGAGTACCCATAACCCAGCGATTTCGTGGCAGGAGAGGGCTCTGATGGAGTGGTCTGCTCAGTGTGTGGGTAGATGTTTGGGCGTTTCCGTAGGGGCTACCTCGGTGGAGAGTCCAAACCAGGTGCCCGCATTGCACGTTCCACCTGAGTATGGGGATTTGGCTATTGCGTTTAGTAAGGCGAGGGCGACGCGGTTGCCACCCCATAGGCAGGGGGATTGTGCGATAAACCTCCAGGCAGGAGCTGCGCTCCCACGGAGCCATGTGTATCCTCTGTCTCAGGAGGAGAAGAAGGCTATGGAGATTTACATAGACGAATCGCTGAGACAAGGATACATACGGCCGTCCACTTCCCCCGCGTCCTCGAGTTTCTTTTTCGTGAAGAAAAAGGATGGTGGTTTGCGTCCGTGCATCGATTACCGTGGTCTCAATCAGATTACGGTGAAGTATAGTTATCCACTCCCGCTGATTGCGACCATGACTGAGTCGTTGCATGGGGCGCGTTTCTTCACGAAATTAGATCTCAGGAGCGCGTACAACTTGGTGCGCATCAGGGAGGGTGATGAATGGAAAACAGCCTTTAGTACCACCTCGGGCCATTACGAGTATCTGGTCATGCCATACGGGTTGATGAACGCTCCGTCAGTTTTCCAATCATTTGTGGATGAGATCTTCAGGGACATGCAGGGGCAGGGGGTGGTGGTGTACATTGATGACATTCTCGTGTACTCACCTACCCGTGTCGAGCATGTGGCCCTGGTGCGCAGGGTGTTGCGGAGGCTGGTGGAGCACGACCTGTATGTGAAGGCAGAGAAGTGTCTGTTTTTCCAGGAGTCGGTCTCCTTTTTGGGTTATCAGTTGTCTGCGTCAGGGGTGAAGATGGAGGTAGACCGGGTGTCGGCCGTGCGTAATTGGCAAACACCAACCACTGTGAAGGAGGTGCAGCAGTTTTTGGGGTTTGCAAATTACTACAGGAGGTTTATCCGGGGTTTTGGACAGGTGGCAGCTCCCATCACGTCTCTGTTGAAGGGGGGTCCGGTGCGTCTGCAGTGGTCGGCCGAGGCGGACAGGGCGTTTGGGAGGCTGAAGGACCTGTTTACCTCGGCCCCGGTGCTGGCACATCCGGATCCCTCTTTGCCGTTCCAAGTAGAGGTGGACGCGTCGGAGGCCGGTTTAGGAGCCGTGCTTTCACAACGGTCTGGCGCGCCACCTAAACTCCGCCCCTGTGCTTTTTATTCTAAGAAGCTCAGTCCGGCGGAGCGGAACTATGACGTAGGGGACAGGGAGCTGTTAGCCGTGGTACAGGCTCTAAAGGTGTGGAGGCACTGGCTTGAGGGGGCTCAACACCCTTTCCTCATTTTGACGGACCACCGTAACCTGGAGTACATCCGGGCGGCGAGGAGGCTGAACCCTCACCAGGCAAGATGGAGTATGTTCTTGACCAGGTTTACTTTTAAGATCACGTACATCCCTGGGTCACAGAATGGCAAGGCAGATGCGCTGTCTCGGCGGTATGACGCGGAGGAGAGGTCCGTGGAGCCCACTCC